AAGAATCGAATAAAGAAAAGTCAGTAGAAGAACGTGAATCGATAGATTGAGTTTTGTTTGTGTTGAATGTTGATTGAATTTGTTTTCTATTTGATTGTCTATGTTGGGTACGAAGGCGAGGTTTATAGTCTTGCAACTTCACTGAGCTATTCGCTTAGCTCACCCCTTCCTTTTTCCCCACAGGTGAAAGATGAAGCAGATCAAGTGGTAGGACTTAGTAACTGCAAGAGACACGATGCTTTAGATTTTTATTTTTATGAGTTCAGTATTTTTAGACTTATTTTAGAATTTCATTATTGAGACTTCCGCTGCAGATTTTGAGATGATAGTATGGTATTAAGAATAAACCGAATCTTTCTTTCTAAAACCTAAGTGACGATTCAACGGGTCTGAAATACCGGATTTTGGGTCGTTACAGGATATCTAGAAAGCTTCTGTTGATGCTCCAATCCCTCAGGAAGGTGGAACAGAAACAAACAGGGAAGCTACTGATGGAGTTTTTCGGAAGGAGGTTGATGGGAACAGAGTCTACATCTCGCAGAATGGAAGTCCCAAGTTCAAAGGTGACAATATCTGGTTGTGTTACTGACTATCGTGCGTGTATATTGGGCTTGATTTTGGTTGATGATTTGCTATGTCAAATACTTTGCAGGTGGCAGTACTTATTGGTAAAGGTGGCCCATGGATAATATCACTATTGCATCTGTCAATTTTGAAAATACATGAACCAAACAAAATTTCTAAATAGACAACACCCTTCTCAATAGATATTTAATATATTAATTTATTTTATTTTAAAAGTTTACTAACTTTGTTGTGTATATACACTTCTATAGAGATGTTAATAACCCGATTCAATTAATTTTGATGTTTTTTCAACGGCGATTAACTAAAATTTTCTTACAAAATATTCTTTATCTGTACCGATTCTCCCAACCAAAATATTCTACTATGACTGAAAATATTTTTTATATTCTTAAGGAGGACACGTTCTTAATTGCAAAGATATAAAATATTTTCTATCTGTACTTTCTAAATAGAAAATATTTTTCTAAAAACATAAATTCTACTATGACTATTATCTTTTCTTTTTAATTTTTCTACTAATATTTGCATTAATTCTTATGAATTTGAAATAGATATAATGAAAACCGTAACAACTATTAAGAATTAATGGAATATAATATAAAATATTTGTTTCGTTGGAAAATGATTTTCTAGGTGTCAGTGAATTTTCATTTCGAAGATATTTCATAGACTTATCGATTCCAGATTTAACGTGCATATTACGAGTGAAAAGTCATCCAAATGAATTCTGTTAAAGTCTTCTGACTCTGATAAGTGATCGGATGGAGAGGAAGACATGCAGCTCTGAGAGCTTTAAGCCAAACACTCAACAAGTAATTTTATATGCAGTAAATGATGTGTATCTATAAATGGCTTGAAGTATCAATCTGATTAAATCTTTTGCATAAGAATAAAAAACACCCGATCAAATGATAGGGATTTCAATAAAACAATGAATGGATTCAAAACCGATAGTTGGTCGATAATATAGAGTGACAATGAGCAAAATAGTTTGAAGTTACCATGTGGGAGAAAATTTTTTTTATTAATTTATTCATCTGGATTTTTTTATCTAATCAAATATTTTTTCCTACATGGTATTTTTTTTCTTTCTCCATTCGAAGTGTTTTTTTCTCTAGGATCAAATCAGTTCTGAATCTAGGTTTACACCATAGTGTTTTAATATACTTTGTAGATTTTACTCAACATAAAAATGGAGTGTTTATATAATCAATTTTGTTTTGTGTAATGTTATTATCGTTTTAAGGTTATCGATGTTGTCATGTGACTTAATTGATCTGTTTTAAAAGTGGAAAAGTAAATTACAGATCCAATCATTCTTATATTTTATATTATCATCTATTTTCATTCAACTAGCATTTTTTATGCCCAATTATATGCTTTTGTTAATAAAAAAATTCATCTACATGGGTGATACTATGGGTGGCTATTTCATATTTCATTTCAGTTATATTCGCGTTTGGTTATTTCGGATATAGCAAAATTATAACCATTTGGTTTTTATATAAACTTTGGTTTAGTTCGGTTCGGTTCGATTCGTTTCAGATTCGGGTTTTTTGTTGAAAAAATCATTTTTTTCCAAAGAAATTTTCAATTTTTTCGGTTATTTTTTTAATTGGTTCGGTTCGGTTTGGTTTCAGATTTTTTGGATTTTAAAAAATCATAAATATTTAGTTTTTATATCGGATTTGGATCGATTATGTTTATATCTTATTCAGTTTAGTTCAGTTCGGTTATTCGGTTCTAAAAAAATTATGTTCTACAAATTTTGATTTATACACACAACATTATTAATAATTAAAAATTGATTCTTTAATCCAGTTCTTCCTTTAAAAAATATTTTCTAGAGGAAAAAAATATAACTCGCTAAAATATGATCTCGAAAAACTATATTTTCTGTCAATGAGTAAAAAGTTTAAACTTTTAATAATTGCTATTAAGAAAATATAAAAATATATATCACTAAAGTATAAATAGTTAACAAATATGATATAATCTTAGTATTAATTTTTTTATTAATTGCATTCATTCTCCCTGTCATATGTTAATTTAAAAGGATGCGGCATCCAGTTGATTCATATTCGTCAAAAGTAAGTGTATATTGAGAAAATTATTGAAGATTTAGAATGTGAGTTAACCCTAAAATTATTGTCTTTTGATTAATTTTAAATAAATATGAGTTAACCCTACAAGAAGATATAGGTATATCCGTTGGAAATACCGTTGGAAATTTTCAACCCAATTTTTCAATTGAATACGTTGAAAATTCCGTTAAAAATTTCCAACGGGCATTTCCAACGGATATCCGTTGGAAATTTCAACGGAATTTTAACGGAAATCGCCGTTAAAACGCCGTTGAAAACCGTGGAAAATCCGTTGGAAAATCCGTTGGAATTCGATGATTTTTTTTGTAGTGAATTAAATTCTTACGACTATAATTATTCAGAAACTAATATAATATAAAAGAGAATATGAAAGATTTATTTATACATTCCGATCTTTTCTGATCTTTTCAGTCAATTAAGTAATAATTTTTCAATTAAAACATATGGGTACAGATTCATTTAATTCTCTACTAACAATGTAAATTCTATTAATGTATTTATGGAACAAAATCATATGTTCAGAGTATGTATCCAATAATAATAGATATTCGGATAATTATAACAATCCCAAATGCTTCGAGCTCTGCTGCATCCATTACAATGGTAGAATATGAGCTTCTTTATATAATGCCACAAAAAAGGATGGCCATTCGGACTCTAGAGTCTTGGTTCTGGGTGGAACTGGTCGGGTCGGTGGATCCACCGTTGTCGCTCTCTAAGCTTTGTCCTGATCTAAAACCCGTCGTTGGTGGTCGTAACAGGTTGGCGAAATTACTTTCCTTTTCCGTTGTACAATTTTTCTTGATTTTTGTGATTTTTTAGTTATATTTAGATTAACTTATTGTTATACCCCAAAACCCGATTCGAATATTTAATTATTTTCGAGAATAAATAATTAAATAGAAACATCACGTTATCATCAAAACGGGAATATATAATAGCGGAAAAAAGGTACGAGAAATCACCACGTACAAAGAGACGAGAAAAGACAAAAAAACGTGGGAAAATTGTCTAGACCGACCGGTCTTGGAAAGTCTGCTTCCGACCGTGTTCCAGGAACTCACATTGCGGGGAGAAGATTGTTTGTTAAAGTTGCTCTCAATATTGTAACTATTTTGTGAGAATTGATTTATTTGTTTTTTAATTTTACTAATATTTTTGTATGACTTTTTTAGGCCGAGAAAGAAGGCGTTCAACCGTCTGCTCTGCGTATCTTACAAGACACGCATCGTCGATCGGATGGGACGTACGTAGATCATCGTGCCCAAGAAATTGAAGAGGCCATTCAATCGAAGATTACCGATCGAATGACGATCGACGAGAGCAGCGGTTCAATGCAATTGACTCCGCATGAAATCAACAACTTGTATCTCGAGGTAATTTTTGTATTTAAAATAATATAATATGTTAGAGTTTAAATATTATTTACATATTGTTTTGAAGGTCGTTCCTCCCGATGCGAAAGGTCGGATTTACGGGATTGGTGCGTTGGCGAGTCAGCTCGGGGGTGGTGACGCATCTTCCTCGTCTGTGGTACGTCATGTATCTCTGACGCGTGAAGTCGAGGAGCTGAAGAGGAAACACGAGGAGACTTCTGCGGAACTTGTAGGTGCTCGGGAGAAGATTGCTCAGTTTGATGCAGCTCAGGCGAAGATCGCTCGGTTAGAGGAGATGATGCAACGTTTTATGCCTCCGACCGATTCCGTCGGTTCGTCTGCTCCGAGTCCCGCC